TATCAGTCTGGTAGTCAGTGATTCTTATCCCCATTAAGTATACACTAGCTTGAGTTAAACAGCTCTATCATTCAGCTACTATCTCCTTAAAGGTATAGTCTTTCTACTATTGGAACCTACCTCCCCATGCGCCTAGCTTTAAGGATAACATGCTACGACTTTCGGTCGACTTATTAGCAGCTGCCCCACATGGGAACCGCTGAAAGAATAGATGATGCAGTGGTACGATACGATTATAAAACATGAAAACCCTTGTCTGAAAGGATTAGCTTTCCCCTCGTGAATACGAGATCAAGGCACGACCAAGATCAGCCAAAAAGGGACCATGACTTTTCTTTATCTATTTCACCGAAGGCATCAAAAGTGCAGCTAGCGATAAATTCACGCCTAAGATGATCTGTTTTATGAAACATCTGAAAAATTCCGGAAGATTATTAAGCGAGCGGTGATCCGTAAGGGGGTCAACCAAAGACATGAAACGTTTATGAAGCCCTGCAAAAGAAAAATAAAGAAAGGACCAACTTTAAAGTCGGTATTTCACACATTGGTAGACTCCAGCCTGGTGTGTCGGTTACGGATGCTGTAATTTAATTTTGTCTGAGGTTGGATATAGTATTTGCCTTGGTCTACTATCCTAGATTCGATGTTTTATGTTTCAGGAGGGATAAAGCCTTCAGATAGCAGCACTGAGAGAAAAACGCAGAGACAGATATGTCGGAACTGAGTTCATAGTCTAGTAACTGAAAACGATCTGCAGTACCGGCTGAACACATTTGTTCTCTGGGGACTTGTCCAGGGGCCCCATGGACATACGGGCCCTATACAAAACTGCGTATGTCATGTGACTTGCTTTTTAAAAATATGTTTCCTTCTGAACAACTGGTTGTCTTAGGATCCATACTGCACTCGTTTGCTCATGACTCATAAGGCTGTTGTGACGGCTCTGCCAATAACGATTCGATAGGTGGCGTGCTTGAATAACACGCCAGTCACTTTTAAATCTTATACAGTTTTCCAGTAGCCCCCGTTTCTTGGCATAGTCCACTGGGAGTCAGGGCACTGCACATGGATTTTGAATACATGGCCATCAGGCCACCAGATACACGTACCAGTCACAGCGATCCCGGACAAAAACCCGATCTATGCAGTATTTCATGTAAGGGGTAGACAACAGTACAAATGGAAACATACCGTAAGGGATTAGGTGTAAACATAATTCTCAAACTGAAGATTACATCATCACCCTCGAATGACAGTCCCTTTTCGTCTTCTATGTCCACCACAGAACACAATGTTATACAGATACTGTGGTTTTAGCCCAGAGGTCGACCACGCAGAAGATGGACCACAAAAATATCAGAAACACTGTAAAGTACTAAAGCAGAACCGATAACTTATGGGTTTACACCCGTGTGCCATTATGCCGATCTTTCTGGATTGGCTTTCTACCCCACCAGGACATCACACAAGCGATAAACACCCGATGACACAAAGTGCCACCATGCGGATGAGGATCACCGTGGAGAGGTCCCAGAAACCGCGTTCAGACATTTGGCCATAATGATGACCTGCCTATATTGCGGCCCCTGGCAAAAGCCAGAGTAGGGCTTCAAATAACAAAAAATTACGTTCTAAGAAGGACGTAAGGAATGTATAAATGTATGCCGATCTGTCGACTGACCTAAACTACAGTAAACTTAACGACAAGTGAACGTGGTGGCTAAAAAGCTTTCATCAGGATTAGACAATGTTACAATTGCAAGGGAAATAAAAACAGAATCACTTAACTGAAGATCTCCGAGTAAAATCCACATGTCTCTCTGGCCAGTTAAAGCCCTGTCACTGTTGTGTATCCCTGTCTGGACTCTCTTCCAAGTGTTATGTCACCTTGTGGTAGTTTTTCCAGTTATTGCCCCTGTGTACCCATGGTGACTCTCTGATCTTCATAGTAACAGTGACATCAACAGTCTTAGGTTGCTTCAACCTTGACCTTCTCTGTCAATTGTGCCACGAGAAACAACTTGATGGGCCCCTTGAAACATGTACAAAGTATTCCTCACTGTGACACCAATATGAATTAAGCTATCGCTTACAAACAAGCTCTTTTATCTTAACAACTTTAAACAGCATTACCTGTAGCCAGAACAAGTCTCTTTTACCAAAGTCAACTTTTGTTTAAAGTGAATGAAAAAGGGCGGCAATGTTTTGTTGTTGTTGTCATAAGGTAGATAACTCTGTATTTAATACTTCATTGTTGAGTTACATTAAATATTATTCTTCCTTATTTGTAAATTGCATAAAACACCAGCGAAACATGAAATCTGTGAATCTTCTCGTGTATACAAGTATATTGTCTTATGAATTGCAGTTATGTTTTTATCCAAAATTATACTAATGTACACAACAGCAAATATAGTGATTGTTTACAGAAACGGAACATTGGATTACTAATGAAACTCAAACATATTGGAATACTTACTACATGTCCAATTTCGTCCTTTATAGGACGAAATTTTTTGTCATTTGAAGCCCTACTCTGGCTTTTGCCAGGGGCCGCAATATAGGCAGGCCATACATATGGCCAAATGTCTGAACGCGGTTTCTGGGACCTCTCCACGGCGATCCTCATCCGCATGGTGGCACTTTGTGTCATCGGGTGTTTATCGCTTGTGTGATGTCTTGGTGGGGTAGAAAGTCAGTTCAGTTCATCGGAATACTACTTAAATCTAAGCAAACTGGAATACTAATAAAACCCAAACACACTGGAATACTAATGAAACCCAAACACACTGGAATTCTAATGAAACCCAGACACATCGGAATACTAATGAAACCTAAGCAAACTGGAATACTAATGAAACCCAAACACACTGGAATACTAATGAAACCCAAACACACTGGAATACTAATGAAACCTAAACACATTGGAATACTAATGAAACCCAAAAACACTGGAATACTAATGAAACCCAAACACATTGGAATACTAATGAAATCCAAACGAATTAGAATACAAGTCACTTCGTGGCAGTTTTACGGTGCCCCAAAACAACTGTCCTACATGGCTATACTGTTCAACGGGGTTCCCAAATGTGTATTTGTTTGGTTCTCTCTTCGAGATGTTCATCAGACAGACTGCAATTCTGGAGGAAAAAAAACTATTGTGCTTGATTAGTTCGTAGTCCCCAAGGCTCGACAAACTACAATTAGAGTGCTTGGTGGAGCCACTCTTTAGTCGCACGCACGCAGGCGCGTTGTGTGTGCGTTAGTGTGTATGTGTGTGTATAGTTTGTGTGTAAAATACTCACCCTAATATTGTTTTTTAAGATTGGAGTGATTGGGGGAGGTTGGGCGAACGAATCTCAGATATGAAATAGTACAACAAACAAACAAGCAAACAAGTAAACCAAACAACTGGCACGTCTGTGTATGTGATTCTTTATTGCTGTCTGAACATTTACGGAGAAACCTTGACAAAATGTCAAGAACTAATCGTGTCTTTGAATTTGAATCCGAAAAAAGTGATTCAGTTTATGTGTCTATGATTTGGTTACAATCTGTTCTTTCTGCGCCAAGCAAGTGTGTGTATGTGATTGTGTCTGTTTGGATCGTGAATTCTGTTTTCTCTGACAAGTGTGAGTATTGCAGTTTATTGTTGGTGTGTGATTTTGAAGTGTAGTTTTGGAATGTACTTTTGGACTGTACTTTTGGAGTGTATAGGTGGACTGTACTGTTAGAGTGTACTTTTGGAGTGTACCATTGGAGTGTACTATAAAAAAAATGCGTATAATCTACTTCTTTAGAAGTCTGTTAAAGTGTTCTCTTAGTATGTGCCAAAAGAACGTACATTTTTAGTGAGCAATTAGATCATGTTTTCGGATTCAGCTGTTGGAATACGCAGTTGGAATGTGCTTTTGGGATGTGCTGTTGGAATATGCTGTTGGAATATGCTGTTGGAATATGCTGTTTAAATGTGCTATTGCAATGCGCTGCTGGAGTGTGCTGTTGAGTGTAATTTTATGACCCACTATTCAAATGTACCTTTTGAGCTTTATTTTTGAAGTGTCCCAATTGCATATGCTATTTGATTGCACTGCTGAAATTTGCGACTAATTTCAACGATACTAATGAAATACTCTTTTGAACTCTACTGTTGTCTTGGAGCGTGTTTTTAAAGTGCGCTGCCAGGTTACATTGTGTTGTTGGGGTGTGCTTCTGCGTTAGAGTGTGTTGTTGGGGTGTGCTTCTGCGTTAGAGTGTGTTGTTGGGGTGTGCTTCTGCGTTAGAGTGTGTTGTTGGGGTGTGCTTCTGCGTTAGAGTGTGTTGTTGGGGTGTGCTTCTGCGTTAGAGTGTGTTGTTGGGGTGTGCTTCTGCGTTAGAGTGTGTTGTTAGGGTGTGCTTCTGCATTAGAGTGTGTTGTTGGGGTGTGCTTCTGCGTTAGATTGTGTTGTTGGGGTGTGCTTCTGCGTTAGAGTGTGTTGTTGGGGTGTGCTTCTGCGTTAGAATGTGTTGTTGGGGTGTGCTTCTGCGTTAGAGTGTGTTGTTGGGGTGTGCTTCTGCGTTAGAGTGTGTTGTTGGGGTGTGCTTCTGCATTAGAGTGTGTTGTTGGGGTGTGCTTCTGCGTTAGAGTGTGTTGTTAGGTTGCGCTTCTGCGTTAGAGTGTGTTGTTGGGGTGTGCTTCTGCGTTAGAGTGTGTTGTTGGGGTGTGCTTCTGCGTTAGAGTGTGTTGTTGGGGTGTGCTTCTGCGTTAGAGTGTGTTGTTGGAGTGTGCTTCTGCGTTAGGTTGTATAGGAATGAACTAGAGTATGCTCCTGACATGTACTGTTGTAGCGTGCTATCTAACATTTACCCAACAATGCATTGGTACTGTACTGTTCCTCACGTGATGCTTATGAATCTCTGCTGTTGTACATAAATATTAGGTAATAAGAAAGGTCATTTCCACTGCTTGACCCGAGACGGCTAATTTAACGCGCAGCTGGGGTTCTGTTTGGGTGGAGTCAGCTCATGATGCTCCTGAGGGTGGCCTCACATCTGCAGTTGTTTCCAAACAGGTTACATCTGCAAGGACAATACACATATAATTAGTTATACACAAAGACCAGGACATCTTAGGGCAGAGTCAACAGTTATCTACTACTTGATCTTACCACAATCAAGGCTCTGTTTGTTCCTTAAAAAAGATAATTAACGCCCCACCCCCCCCCCCCCTTTTCCCCCGGCCACACAAAAAAAATTATGATTACTTGCAAATGATGCCCTACTATCTCTAAAATATATAACTGACTAGAAATATAAAGGTATATAAATGTGTGTGTGTTGTGTGTGCGTGCATGTGTGTGTGTGTGTGTGTGTGTTTTGCGAGCATGTGTGTGTGTGTATGTGTGTGTGTTCACCTCCACATCCATAGCACTAAAAAAAAAACCTAGCCCAGAAACGAGCGCACTTGTATGGTCGTTACTGAAACTGCAGATAATTGTATGCCGGTGACAATACATATAAGGGCATGGACCACACATACATACGCGCGACGCGCACACACACACACACACGCACACACACACATACTCATATGCACAGACATACACACACACGTACACATACTCATTAGCACAGACATACACACACATACACATACTCATATGCACAGACATACACACACACATACACATACTCATATGCACAGACATATACACACACATACACATACTCATATGCACAGACACACACACAGACACACACACACACACACACACTCATAAGCACAAACACAGATCAAAATTTTCCAACAAAGATTTAACGACCATAAACTTATATGAGAAATGCATTGCAGGTAGCTAGGATTCATTGAGGCTTTCTGTGACAAGAAATACATTGGAAAGCTGTTATTCTCTGCAGGCACCACTCATTGAATGTTTATAGCTTTTTAGTAGCTGTTTTAGTTATACTCCATGCTTCTGCTCCATATAACAATATTGATTTGACATTAGAAATTGAAAAAAAAAATTAGTAGTAGTTTGAATTTCCTTTGACCTTCAAAACTTTCACAGCGCGCTGAAAGCTCCGCTTTCCTGTTTTATTCGGATTGTGTGTGTGTGTGTGTGTGTGTGTGTGTGTGTGTGTGTGTGTGTGTGTTTTAAATTATTATCTCTGCAAGTTCCATCATCTTTATCTGCATTGCTAGTCAAATAAGTGTAAGACTTGACATACTATGATGCGATGCCATTGAGAAAAACCACATTAATTATTGCATGATATATTCTCTTATCTTTCTCTCTTGTGAATTTTTAGAACTAGCTGTTGTGATGTCCCATCAAGTATATTGGATTTATATTGCAACAGATTCGGTGAGTAGGACAGAAGAGAAATATCATCAACGAAATTCAGATCCTCAAGCTACATTTAAAGGGGTCCACTGAATTCCATTCTTGGTGTTAGCTGTTGTTGTCTTCATAATTTAATCTATTGTCATTACAACTGGGCTTCGAGGTAATGAACGCAAAAGGACACTTAAACAACTGGGCGAGGTTGCTGAGAGGGCCTCGAGTTGGCTCTGGACACAACGGAACGTCCTGGGGGACGGGTCTCGGTGAGCTGGTGCGGGTGTCTAGTGGAAAAGAGTTTCCTATCCCTTAAAGTCCATCGTGTCCAAATTGTCTGCCAGTGTCCTTCTGCCACCTTCCAACAAAGTCCAACATGTGTCGGGTAAACCAAATATAAGCTTGCCACTCGGTCGTCCAGGTATGCAGACTGCTATAATTATGCTACCGCAACGACTTCTTATCTCACAGTACCTTTTGCAAAGTCACCAATTCGTCTTGTATCTGTCCGAATAACATCCGGTAATACGTGCAGCAGGAGAAACCATCCCTGAGCTTCATGAACTCAGGTGGGCCCACACTCTGAAAATGTCTAGGAGCTCGTGGGCCGAAACATTTGTCAACGAGAAGTTACTTCTACTGATGAATTGTAGACTTCTGCTGTACATGCTCCCTTGTGGAGTTTCTTCTTACTTATAATTGCCAGTAACACAAGACATCCATTAGTTTTCCCTGGTGAAGAACTCAACATTTCTTGACATTATATGTTGCCTTTACTAAGTTGATAATTTTCTATGGGATGCTATAGTGCCCCATTAATTACAGAAAGATTCAATTTCAGTGCTGTCAAAATCTGTTTACATAATCTATGAATCCAATGTAAAGTGATGAGTTTAATTCAGATCTCTACTCTATTGCTATGCCTAATGTGGCTACCTGGGTGCAGATTCAGAATAAATGAAGCAGAGGAAGGTCTCTGTGAAGGTGGATACAAGATGTTTAGATGCATTGGCTAGGAAAGCCTATAGGGCTGGAGAATTGTCCACAGAGACTTGCAGATGTGCTATGACAAGAGCGACGTTCTGTACAGAACCCATCGACTGAAGACAAAGTGCTCATCACAGACCTGACAGACATTGTTACAGACTAGACGACTTAGTTACAAACTAGGCACACACTT